GACCAACACAGCATATGCAGACACCAGTTTTCCCCCAAAGACCATGAGTTGTTCCAAAAATAGATAAATTATTAATCATCAACTTAAAATTAAACTCCCAGACAAACTGTTTTTTTCTGTTGTTCCTTCAGGTGTAAAGTGTGTGTATATCTTAAAAGGGAGATGGGAAGCCTGTGTTTGACCTGTTTTGCTTTTGCATTTTATGATGCATTTTGTGATGCATTTCTATCCTAAGTTGTGTATCTTATTGTAAAAAATAAGATACACAACTTCAGATATCTCACAAACAAGACATTGACATACATGGAAAAACTTTAAGAGAACCTTATATTATAGCAGAAAGTGCGGTGGTCACTGAAAGGAAGACTTTCAGTATTCAACTATGCTGCATGAACTGATCAGTACAGTATTACGAGTAGGCCTGTCACGATAACAGATTTTGCTGGGCGATAAATTGTCTCAAAAATTATTGCGATAAACGATAATATTGTTTGAAGACCTTTTTACATTGATTTAATGGAAATTACGTAATAATACATGTGATTTTCTGCCAAAGATAGAAACATTTTACTTTCAAAAGACACTTAACACTGGGACTGATACACAAAATAAATAAAACAACCAAAACCAAAAATAAAATAGATTCTCAGTCTCCATTAACAATAAATGTACTTGAATACAAACTAAACATAAAGCCAACGTGGAAATAAATACTGCATTCAACCAAAAGAGTTCAGATTATGAGTCTGTATAGTATATTGCCCTTCAGTAATAATTAGATTTAAATAGAGAAGAATCCGACTGCCTGATGCAATAGTTCAAACTACAGGATTTTTTACCCTGAACGACAATCTTAGTTCTAAGATTGTAGAACGAAGATCTAAATCAAGGATTTATCCAGACTGGGGGAGTGACGCAGCCTACTGAATGTGATCGGTAGCCAATCAGAAAGCGCGGATTCTCCTCCTGCTTTCTGAGGGGAAACACGGAGGGAATCCCGAACTGCTGACACGATGCAACCCGAAGTCCAGCAAACATCGGAAACAACATGAATGTTTATTCAACATTTCGTGCAAAGAAAATATAAATAACTAGGGGAGGAGTTGGAGCGAAATTTCTAGCAGAAAACCCGGTAACTTTTCAGCTGTTCTTCATTAACGTGACATAAATAGGTTCTAATGATTTTCATTCGGTCAGACTGACACTAGCTACATGCATGACAGGTAGATTATAGTAAGGAATTGATTAATTCCTGGTTTCAAAGTTAGTGAACTGGACTTATTATTTTGTGCCCATTGTTGGACACAACACGGTTCGATCGAACCGTTATAGCTCAGCTTTCTGTCGGCTAATGTGTCTCAGGTTTTGATAATGGGTTGACAATCCGCGACATCAGATGGTGCAGCGCGCGCTGGGCATTACACTAAGGAAGTAAGGAAGGGAGGGTCAGTGGAGAGCACCGGAGTTGAGCCTTTTTTCATTCAGTGTCATCAACAGTAAGAGAAAAAGGCAGGAAGAATCGATATAGACGATAATTGAAATGACGTCGATAGTTTTAATTTATCGTCCGATTAATTGACTTATCGTTTATCGCGACAGGCCTAATTACGAGAAATCGTGTTCATGTGATCAGACAGATTCTGTTTGAGTGATTTCTTGATCCTAAAGAAGAGATGTGATTAATCGTGACCACATATAGTGAAATTGAATTAACGATATGGTTAACCACTGTTCATTCATGATTTAATCAGGGAGGCCATTACTCTCAGGTTTGTTTGAATTGCTTTTTTTCCCTCCTTAAAAATTATATCCACATCTCAAAACTGTTTATTGTATTTGTTTAGGTTATATTTGATCAATGATAGATAAATTGTTTGGTGACCTGACACATTTAAGTGTAACAGAAAACAACAAAAACGCACAAGAACGTTTTTATAGCACTGTGGATTTAGGTGTTTTTGTTATTGCTTTATTCCTCAGATTCAGTGGGAATAGACAGTAAGTCGGAATGCAGCTTTCCTGAGAATAAATTTCCTGTAATGGCGGTTTGCACCATGAACATCACTCTGAACAGGACTCTCCATGGAGTCCAGGTCAAATGTGAAGCTGAACTGAACCTGGGACCCAAAGGACCTCAGCCTTCTCCACTTATGACATCCGATCCATTCACACTCACCGTCCTCTGTGAGAACTAAATTTACTTCATTACAGTTAATGTTTAAAGGCTTTACTGGTGGACATTGTGTCACATCAATTATTGGTCAAAATACTAGTTTGAAGTCAAGTTATCGGAATAAGTTTCATTATCTCACATTTTCTCTCCTTTATGTCTCAACAGATAAACCCACGATTAACACTACAAAGCTTCCTGAGTTGGTCCCAGTGATCAGTGGTTATAAAGAGAAGCTTGTTTGTGTGGCTGATGGCAACCCGGCCCCAAAGATCACATGGAATTATTCCTCAAAAACTGCGTTTCTTGGGTCAAATGGCACGCTCACTGTAAATGAAGAAGGCAGCTACATCTGCATCGCTAAAAACAGTCTCGCCACTGACACACGTGAGGTCAAAGTCATTTTAAAAGGTAACTAAAATCTTTTTGGGGAAAATGCATTTTTGGAAAAGAACTTTAAAGAGATTTGCAGTGGTAATTTTAAATTTTAAACCATAAACTAATCACATGCTGTGTCAGAACAGGACGCGTTAATGTTTGATGCAGCGATGGTAATGTTTAGTGCATTAGTTTGTGAATGTCAGCCTTCATGTTGCTGCTGACAATGAACCGAACTATATTCATCCCATCTCCTGGGTCAGGGGTTTTCAATTCTAGGACTCAAGGGCTCATCCTGCAACCTTTAGGTGTGTCTCTGCTTCAACACAGAAAAAAAATCTCTCCCTGTCACTTCATGTGGTTATGGAAGAGATGTTAATCAGTTATGACTTTGATTGGTCAACACAATGTCCAGACTTTATCCCCAATAAAAATCTTTAGAGAAAGATTTCCCGTTTCTGCAAGTCTTTCACCATTTGGTGTCTGCTCAGTTCCCATCTGATTTACTTGTCAGTAAAGGCTTGTATGATCAGAAAATCTAAAAAGAAAAGCTGAAATATATTAACATGAACTTAATAGGCAAATTGTGCTGACTAGTAATGGGCAATAAATTGTGAACAAAGGCAGTTTTGTGTTCAGAACAAAAGCCTTACCTAGAACATCTGTTTCGAATGGCAAAAAAACTTATTATTTTGCATAATCAGTAAATGTAGATTTTTTTTCTTTAGGTGCTGACAAGATTAAAAAAAAGGTTTATGCGTTTTGATGCCAAAAACAAATTTTTAAAACCTCTTAGCCAACAGGAAATCTTGAATTTTAGTCTTGTTGGTGTTTGTTTTTTGTTTTTGTTTTTGCATTATTATAATATTTTTCTGCTTTCAGAGGACTACCTGCCCCTCCTAGCTGGATTTGTGGCTCTCACAGTTGTGGCTATCTCCATCATTTTTGTCTTCATCTACTCAATCTACTACAAGAACACCAAAATGCGTCGCTACAGCCTTAAAAACCCTAAACTCAGCAGTCACAATGGGAATGTGGCTCACAACGGCTGGGACATCCAGCTACCAGTGACCAAGCTGTCTTAGCAGAACTCCTTTCAACAGCACATTAAGGATATCTGCTCAGTCTGAATTCACATTCACACTTGGACCGGTTGAAAATAGCTTCTGCTGCTCAAGATATCATATTATTGTCATATTTGCTTCTCCACATTTTATTCTTGAAGAAGTTTCATGCTTTTATGATGAAGGAAAAAATGTCAGATCTTTATTTGTTTTACTGGATGAGGCAAAATGAAGGAGTGAGAAGGTAAAAATGGACTGAGATGAAAGAGATGTGTTTTTCGTAAGAAAGGAGTGTGTTATGATTATTGTTTTTGCTTTGGTTTTGTGCATCTTTGACCTTTCTTCATTGTTTACTCAGTTGATTAAGAAATCAGGCAAAATTTAAAGTCAAAGTAAAACTTCATTTGTCACCAAGAAGTTATATCTACTTCTTCTTAACTGGTTAGCATCAATAACTCTGTGAAAGTCGAAATATCTTTGGAAAAATTCCCTGCACTTTTGCGTTTTGCATACAATCTGCATCCTCTAACTGTGTCAGCCCTTTGTTGGTGCTGCCATGCTGTGCTAGGCTCAAGCCTGATGGAACAATTACTCTTGTTCAACATTTTAATGTGTTCTCTTTTCTATGAGTGACTGCAGGCATTTGTAGCCTTTATATGTAAAATTGTGGAAAATATTTTTCTGTAAATGAAAAACTTTCTATTTATTTATGAAGAACAGTTTGAAGTTGGCTTTAAAATTGGACTGCATATATAAACATTGCAGATGTTGGAGCTTAAGCAGCCTTGATTGTGAAATGTGAAAGAACACACTGTATACATTTGTGAATACTGCTGTAAATATTTACATTTGTGTAAATTGTTTTTCTTTTAACTATTAAACTTATGCATTTTCATAACACATTGTGTCTGAAATAATACATTTGGACAATAGACATTAAACTAAAGCACTATAGTTTAATGTACTTAAGAATTTCTATATTAACCACAATCTTAGGCATTAATTTTAATCAAACGTGCCAAGCAATTCAACTATCAATATGCTTTTTAGTTATGCTTACTTCTATACTTGAAAGAAAACTAGAGCAAGAGGAACACAGGTGAAACTATGCTCCGCTAAAAAAAAAAATACCTTTCAACACAGAAATAACTATCTTTGGATGGTTAAAGGAACCGCGGTCGCTGTTCCTCGGAAGAGTTGTGATACTGGCAGTTATTCATGTGTTGAGACAAAAAAAAATCACTAGAAAACATTAAGTTACCGTAAATTAATGTCATAAGAGGCTAATTTTACTAAAGGTTATCTCCATATCGCTGAGAGGTAAAGGGCGTGGCGTTAGGTTTACTTGCTGCAACTTGTTTTGAACTCGATGATTCACGGAAGGGAGATTTACAAAATGCACGTCAACGCACCACATTTGCTTTTGCTTTCAATGATTCCCAATGCTTAGGCACGGAGCTATTCCTGTTCAGAAGAGCCATACTGTGTAGTTCAATCTGATCTAGGGGGAAGTTTGTGTCACCACAGCCGAACCTCCATTCGCTTTGAACGCCCAGCAGAGCCTGAAACCACGATGCGGTTCTTCCTGTTCTTCGCCTGTGTAATCCACGCAGGTAAGTAAACCTTCATTGCTGCTTTTTGAGACTGCTCTTTTTGGTGCAGTAGGTTATCTCGGACATTGTCATTAGCGCTTCTGTTTTTATTTCTCAACCTACGCCCTTGTTATATTCTTTCTAAGGAACACCATGTTACTCTTTTTTACTTATGAACTAGAATCAGATTTTAATCACTACTGATTCCATAAACCAAACAGTAGCTTCTAGAAGAGACAAAACCTACGGAAAATGTATAGGTACTTAATTTTGCAGCACAATTAAAGTGGTAAAACTTCCGTAAGCCATGTCATGAATCACTCATTTTTTGCAGACCTTCAACAGCTGTCGTTAGTTATTTTGAATTTACACATTGCTGAGAAAGTGTGTAGCCTTTTAAAGAAAACATGGATATGTAAATATAATGAGTGCCCTTTTTAATTTTTTAGCCTTGAGACAAATTAAAATGACCCTTGTTTGGCAGAACTTATTTTTCAAAACACTAGAAAACCTGAGAAGATCAGGTGATGCAGTTTAGAAAATGAAATGTTGCTTAAAATAATATTTCAGCAACACAAACACTTCAGGATACTGGATATTTGGTCACTATGTTATTGCTCTAAAGCATGCTGGGTTGAGTTTTCCTTTGGATTTGATAGAAAATCATGTCATTAAGGTAAAAACATGTTGCTCTCATGAAGTCATGTTAATGGTTCTATGATTTAAGCACATAGCCACTCAATGAAACATGTAGTGATGAAGCATTCATATAGACAAGAATTCCTTACTTTACCTCAGCCAAATATTTTAGATCAGATCATGTTATGTACATACTTTTTTTCCTATGCTATTGGGTTTTCAGCATTTCCCTGGAAGAGTATCACATTCTCTAAGACAGTCATACCCAAACCACGATGTTCCAAACTGCGAACCTCAAGTTGAGCATGGTGTTTTATTTTGTGGTGATATGCAGAATTATTTTTCTTCCAAACATGGTTTGCGCAGCTTTGCATTGTTTCACAGGCTTCTGGAATTTTTCTGCACCAATTCTTACTAAAAAGTTTCAACTTTTTTTTCCCCCCTTCAGCAGTGGAGTCTTTTGCCCCAACTGTGCATATTGGCTATTGTGACTAAGTGGAAGGCTTCTTATTTTAAAACTGTTCCTGCTCTTTCCAGGACTTTTTGAAGCTCAGTATTTAATTCTAAATATTTCATGTCACTGCATAAGCACAATGACTGTTGTTGTAAGTCAATGTATTTATTTTATGTATTTCATAATGACAGTAAGAATTATTATTGGTAATTGTAATAATTGTATCAGCTCTTATCTGTAAGGCTGCAACTAACAATTATTTTAATAATAGATTATTCTGATTAATTGAATTAAAACTGGCACATTCTTTAGATTTGCCATTTAACCACTTTGGCTTAGTTTATACAGTAGTAGAAATACATTAAAATAATCACTTCAATTCCTTGTCTAAGCAAGAAAATAATGGTCTTCTTGCTTAAAATGTAGTAACATAGCATTACTTTAGTGTGTGTTTGATAATTTGTAGCAAATAATGAATCTGCAGCTAAAAAATACTTCTAACATCTACCTGTAAAAAGCTCAGCTTATTCTACTTGATTTGACATTTATACTGTATAATCTGGTGATTATTTTTAATTTACTGGTTAATAATTAGTTAGTGAAATGTGATTAATAGGAGTTTTTTTTCACATAGTCTGAATTAGGGGAACCTATAAAATGTTCACTATGAATAGAACATAGTCACAGACTGGTATGAATGGGAGGAGAATGCATGTTGAAATGTGCAAATAAAATAATCTACAAAGCAAAAGGCTGCACCCTACCTGTGGCGGAGAGCAGAGATGAGTTAGTTTGCGGTCATGGTTTATATAATGACTGGCTTTAGCAGTTGCTCAGGTGTTAATAATCAGTCTTGCAGAATGGGGAAATGCCCAAACTAACAACAAGAATCCAGGTTTCCTAATAATCATTTGTAGCAAATGGCCTGGTTTGGAGTAAGTATATTCCAGTTAAGGATTAATTCATTACTAAATTAGTTGAAGAAATTATAGATTTGTCATGACTAATCCAATTAATCGTTTCAGCCTTTATTAGCCGTTTTTAAATGGCTGTTTCTGCAGTAAAAAAATATATATTTTATGTGAACTGTCTCCTTCTAGGAAACTGGGCACATGGCTGTGAAATTAAGTTCACTCCCCCGATGGTTTATGTGGAATTTGGAGGTTCTACATCAGCCAACTGCAAAGCATTATGCAACAATACGGAGGGGATTGGTTGGGAGTCTTCATTTGGAGGAACTGGTCTTAAACAGGGACTCACCACTTTAGATGTGAACCTTAAGGATGTTAACGACTGGAATACTGCACCAAAATGTTATATATTGCTTTCCAATGGTGTACAGGATATTGTACCGCTACCAATCACTGTCTACAGTAAGTAAGTTGGATAATATATGTGACAATCTTATGTGAGATGCACACACATTTATATATATATATATATATATATATATATATATATATATATATATATATATATATATATATATATATATCAGAGGATAAGAACCACCCGCGGTGGGTGAGAAGGGAATTTTTTTTTTTTTTATATATATATGAATGAATTTGGGAATTATTCATTTCCAGTCTTTACAAGTTGTATGAATTAATCTCTTACTCCCTTATGACAATGTAGAAAAAAGGCTGAATGTTTTGTAAATTTATTAAAAATGGAAAACTTAGAAATCACATTTACGTAAGCCTTAAACATGAAAATTAAAAGTTCATGATCATCCTTGAGATGTTTCTACAATTTAAATGTAGAAACAACCTGTAGTAAATTCAGTTGACTGAAAGGGTACACCAGCTGTCTATATAAAGTCCCACAGTGGACACTGCAGGTCAGATTAAAAACACCAAGCATGGTGCCAAAGAAATTGTATGTAGACCTCTGAGACAGGATTGTCTTGAAGTAGAAGTCTGGGGAAGGAGGCATATCGGTGTTTGCTGTTTTGAAGTCTTAATCTCAATGTCCTCCATTGTTCATAAATGGAATATGTTTGGAACCATTGGGATTCTTTTTGAGCTTGTCGGCCATCTAAACTGAGAGATTTTGAGAGAAGGGCTTTAGTTAGCAACGTAACCAAGAACATACTGGTAGGGTGTCCAGAAGAAAACAACTCCTCAATAAGACCACAAAACAAAATTCTGTGGTCTGCTGAGAACAAGTTTGAATGTTTTGGTGTGAATACCAGGCATCATGTTTGGAGGAAACTAGTCTTAGCTCATCACCAGGTGATAGAGGGATAGAGGGAAATATGAATTGAGCAATGCACAGACATACTTGACGAAAACCAGCTCCAGAGTCATCTAGACTTCAGACTGAGGTGAAGCACACTGTAAAGATCTCACAGTGACTTCAGAACAAATGTAAACATCATGGAGTGGCCAAGCCAGAATCCAGACTTGAATCTCTGGTAAAATCTGTAAATGCCTGACACACGTCTCCCAAAAAGTTTTCCATGTTCAGAATGATAGGTATTTGCATGTAGAATTTTGAGAAAAAAATGTTATACAATTTTGAATTTGGGTTTAAAATAACCCAGTGTGCAAAATGTATACTTTTCATATTAATATAGATTGATAAAAAAAAATCTTGTTAATATTCTAATTTACTTTTTTCCTGTATCACTTTTTGCTGTAGAAATGCCAAAGAAGGTATTTATGTCAAAGCCTCCGAGCCCTCTGATGGCCGATAATGAATATCATCTCTTAAAGTGCTCAGTTCATGATGTTGCACCAGTGAACAGGCTTGTCATATCCTGGCACAAAGGAGATAAAATGGTCTATGAGATGAAGTTTGAAGGTGCCGATCGACGTCCAGTCAATAAGTCTGTTGAAACAACAATAATCATTGATGCAGAGGATAATGGAAAGAAGGTCTGGTGTGAAGTAAAGCTAGACTTCCCAGCAGATCAAAGACCTCAGCCTATGCAATCAGAGAAGCATGAATTAACAGTTTACTGTAAGTTTAAATATTATTTTTGTCTATTCATCAAAAGGAGTATTTTTTTGCAGCTAAATGTCAGACTGTCTGTATTTTTAATTCCTCTTTTTTCTTCTTTCTGCATAATTTATTGCTCATCATCAGATCCACCAACCTTCACCGAGCCTGAAAACGAGACCCTGGAAAATGTTGTTGGTACAAAAATATCTTTGAACTGTACGGCTACAGGAAACCCTACTCCAGTTTACAAGTGGGACTTTGCAGACTCTACGCTAAAGGGGATGCCGAAGCAAAATGCTACTGGGTCGATTTTTACTTTGGATTTTAGAACTCCAGTAGTCTACAAATGTGTAGCCTCTAATGCTGCTGGTGAAAGAACCAAATATTTCCACCTCAACCAACCTGAAGGTAATCACATCACTCCAGCAATCTTAGAGTATCCTTTCCTTCTTTGAACTGCTTGTCAATAACCCTCCATGCTGCTGTTCTCTATTAAGTGGTCAACCGGAGACCACTGCTGGGGCTTCATGTACTCTTTGTTGTAATCCTTATTTTGGGACATGTAGATTAATCATAAACAAAGACGCTATTCTTTTGGAAGTCCAGAAGGTTTGTCCAGAGTGAGAATGTAACAAAACTTTTTGTCTCCCACAGGGAATTATACCACCATGGCAGCCCTGTTGGGAGTATTTCTGACTCTGGGAGCTGTGATCATCATCATTGGTGCCATTTTTGTGACAAGAAATGGATCGTGTGCTCTCCCAAGAACTATCTATTAACCTGAAATCTGACTTTTGCATAATTTAGTGTTGGATGGCTTTACTGTAAGTTTTTGTGCTTGGTGAAACATTTTTTTCATTTAAGAACTGAGTGCTTTTATTGGTGGTGCATGTTCAGAGCCTGTTTGTACATGCTTGGATCTGTAGTTTTAGAAATGCTGAATTTGTCTTCTGCCTTTAAGATTTCCAAATTATTGGCACTGTGGAAACAAACTTCCCCTTTCCAGGTTGCACTAACTGTGTTTCTTAACCTTAATAAAGCTCCACCATCACAACATTAGTAATGTGATGGTGGCAAATGTGGCAAACTTACTTCAGGAAATTATGGACATTCAAAGTCTTCTCTGGTATCAGTTTTTCTTCTCAATTGACTCATTTGTATTTCAGGTTGCCGTAACTACTGTGTTAAAGTGGTACTTTGGCTTTTTGTGCTGCAATACTGCCTATTTGACACAAGACTGGTTTCTCAGATGCATGTTGTCATATTTACTGGGATAAAAAGGTGTTGCATCCCTCTAACATTAAGCCAAAGCTAAAAGCACAGTACCTTTTTTCATTTCCCAAAAGTCAAATATCTTCTATTAGTGTTAAAATGTTAGCTTTTAGAAAAATATTCTGTGAAGATTGTGAGGTGGTAAATAGCACTAAGTTGAAGCTCCAGCAACACTTGAAATACTGAGGAAATGAGTTTACTCATCACGATGTCACAGGCGGAAATGTCGCAACCTGACAATGAAGTTTTCTCAACATTTCAAGTGTTGGTGGAGTTTCCACCTCATCACATCTTTATCCATTTTTATGCACCTTGACGTTTCGCTAGAAACGTTAGCATCTATAATTCTCCAACCCAATTTTCTGAACATGTTAAAGTACCATTTGGGACATATTTCATCTTTCACCCATCTGCAACAACCGACGGGAGAAAGTCGTCTCTTGGACGGTTTTCCGAGAGTCCAAACAAAACTATTGGATCAACCAGATATTTTCTTGCTATACCCATAGTCTCTAACTTAGCAGCAACAGAAAGTTTCTTTTCTCCATATCAATCCAAATGAGTTTTTTATTCAAAATTAAGTGGTTTTGATCTTTTCCAGAGAATCCAGAACATTTAAAGAATCAGGCAAACAACAGCAATTGACCCATTTGAAGTTACCCAGACTTACTAGCTCTGGGTAACTTCTTCCTTTAGCTTATCATGTTGACTATCCTACATTTTTTGCTAATTAATTGACTTAAATGTAATTAATGAATGTGTGGCTTTTTGAGTTTCTGTGAGGCTGCAGTTCACGGCATGGGTACTTTCTCTCTTTTTTTTGTTCAAATGCATTATAACATTGTTACTTGAAGTTTGCTTGCTTGTGCTGTTAAAATAAATTGTTTGCACTTTTCAAAGACCATTTTTAATGAATGTGCAACAATATGTTATAATTTCATTCCTACCACAAGCACAGAGTTTTTTTAAACACAAGCCCTGACTAAGAGATGGTTTGGAAATAGATAAAGCAAGCTTGGGTTAATTTTTTAATATGACTTTCACAAAGCTCCATCCTCAGTCCTGTTAAAAATATTTCCTATGCTGTAAAACCAGTTTTGTACCACAGAAACAACCAGATTAAATTATCTTCACCCACTGAGAAGAGTGCAGAAATTATAAAAGGAACCTGGTGGATTCAAAATGTGTGTGGCTGAAGGGCAGCTTAGTTTTTTGTTGTTTTTTTTTTACAGCTTCAGCCAAAGCAACTGTCTTCTTGATTTGGACATAATTGTAGTTGTTGATCCAGCAGGAGGTAGTTTGTGCTGTTGATTTCAGGCTCATGTTGATGCTAAACTGGCATAACCTTTCATCAAAAATCTGAGAATTTCCATGTTGGATGTTCATTATTATATTTTAGCCTTGACTTATGGCTTGTTAAATTTATGCATTTTCATTTAAGCGTAGTGGGTCAAATTTAAGGATTTATTTTTTATTTTGTAATTTTTGTTTTATGTTTGGATGCCATCTAGCAAATCTACAGTAATGTTACAAAGCACAACTCCATGCAGTGCAAATTTTTTTTTAAATCCACTGCATGGAGTGAATTACATACAAATTGTGAGGATACATGTACAAATTTTGAGTTTCTGCAATTTAAGTTTTTTTTTTATTTTACTGTTTGCTGTGTGGCACCTTGATAATGTTTATTTTGCACTGAGTAAACCTACAAACCATGCAATAGATTATTATATATTAACATGTTTTATTATGAAACAAAAAACTGATAAAAGAAAAATATTTTTGTGAGATCTAAGTTAATTAAAACATGTTGGTTTTATTAGTGTTCTTTTACTAAATTAAAAGGTTGAAATATTTTGTCGTCACTTTTTTATGTTGTGAATAGCTTCAAGTATAATAGATTCAACAAATGTTTCCTTTCTCCACTTTGTCAGTCGCTTCCCTCGCTCTATCAGCCTTATATCATTAAGCACTGAGTAATCTGCACTTATTACATCAAATGTCAGAATATTATAGAGGAGTTTGTGTAATTCTTTTTCTGACACAATAAAGCTTTGATCTTATTATTATTATTGTCTTAAAACTGACTTATTTTTCTTCTATCATTTCCAACACTTAGCTGAAAAAGTGAGGAAATGTTTTTGTATTTTCTCTGCTGCTATAACAACCTGGCAGCTGGGCTTCCACACTGGTCGAGTTCAAAGATAAAAGCTTTACTATCAGGATACTCATCCTGCGAACTTGTTGGGGCATATTTAAAGCTGTGAGTAATGTGAGAATACACACAAGTAGTCTGCAGCGCGGCCATTTGCAACACTGAATGATTGTATGTGCCGCTCAATAGTTCAGGAATGACATAACTTTAGTTTGCGAAATCATTTGATTAGTCCAGATACAAATATGTTGCGGTAACTTTCTCACTGATTAGAATATTCTATATTTCCTAAACATATTGTGTAATTCTAAACATTAAAATAATAAATATGTTTTCACAATTTTTGCAAAAAAAATAAAAAATCCAATTTTGTGGCTCTTCAAAATACTTTAAATTTAACATTCTGACCCTTTCAGTAATGCAAATAAAAATGAGGTGTGATGAAAATGCTGATACCATTTTTTAGCATTTGTTTACTGTTATATCTGCTGTATATTTGTACTCCTGCAAAATATGTTTCAGGTGCAGGCGCTTCTGCAGCTGTGATGAGATAAGAGAACTAAAATATCCTGTGCAAAATACCTGTCCTTGCAGTTGCCATATATATTGAATGCATTTCCTGTTCTGGTCTGTGCTGTTGAATTTTCACTGTATAACACTGTGGAATTTTCTCTGTGAGCATAGGCATGTCTCTCTGTGAAGACATGCCCATGCTCTGAAGAGAAAAAATACTGAAGGTCTGCAAGCTCTCGTTGGGCCCTGGGATGCATGATATGCCTATGTACTATGATCCTTCACAATCAGAATGAAACTGAGGAAGGCTAAACATTAACAGGATGACACATCTGTGAGAAAATGACGTGGCTCTGACTTGGTTCTCACCAAACCAGTTCTTTTCAAAAAACAAGTTAAGAACCACTGCCAGCACTTAAGTGGAAGAGTCAATTGTCATCGCCAAGTAGAATGACATGGGTTTAAATAAATCCCATGACATTCTATTGCTTTTAAAGGGGCAGTATTACGTATTTTCCAGGCATATAATACCACTACCTGGCAAGGTGTCTGATAATAGACATCACCAACTTTTTTTTTTTTTTTGCTTTGTGCAAGAACAACAATGGGCCACACAATGCACCCCTGTATTTTTTCCATTGTAATTTTGTTCCTGGGTAGGCTAAGAGTTTTCTTGCTTGTGCAGAGACAGTAAGTTTATCTGTCTTATAATGGGTTTTGGGGAAGTTAGAAAATAATTTGGCTGAGACATGCTGCATTTAAATTTTGTGAAAAAAATAGACCATATTAAAAAAGAACCCAAATTATATCTGTTAAAATTTTGAGTTTAGCTTCTGAAAACATAAGCTTAACTCAAAGTTACATTATCTCATTATTTCTTTGTGTGGAGGAAAATATTAAAACAGAGCATTTATGTGTGGAATTTCCATGTGAAGCATGGTCAAATCAAATGTTTACAAATGTATTTATCTATGAAATTAGCATGTATGACATTTCATTCTATGTTTTTTTTTAAGAGCTGGGCTTGGTTCTTTTAAAATGTCTTAAAATATTTGCAATATATTTTATCTGTTTTTGTACAATAATACTTTTGCTTTGGAATAACCATTAAGCAATGCCTAAGGGAATTACCAAAAAAATTAGTAATTTAGATCAAAATGATCAAGTCAGGACATTTGTTTGCAGGGACTCTGAAATAACTTTCAGTCTCAGCTGTTGTTCTGCCAGTTGAGGTATAACATAAAGCAGTCGATAAAGAGTTTATCTTTCACTGAGTAAACTTGAAAAACAATATCATTTCTGTGTTACCCTTTGCATGTGCTACATTCTGAAATGGTTCTACTGTAAAATAATTTGTGTATAAAATCATTTTTTTTAAAGCACAAAACTGTTTTAGAAAATGTTCATATATTACAAAATCTAACTCCAATTAACAATTGTTGTTTTCTTACATCAGTGTTGTTTTAGTTCAACCAAGTTAAGAGGTTAAAATATTGTGGCATTACTCTTTTCTGTTGTGAACATCATTAATCAGAACATAGATTTAGCAAATGTTCAGTCCATTGCCTCTGTCAGACAGCCTCACATTAAAAACCACTGCCATCTACTGATTATATCCTGACATCATTGTGAATGTAAAGAGTCTCCTCTCTTCCACTGGTAAAATAAAACTATTTTTTAAATCATTTCTGCCTTCAAACAGTTTTCCCTGACCATTTCCAGCAATAAAAAAGTAAGTCAACTGTTTGTATTTCTTTTTGATGTGTTGTTATAATAACCTGACAGATGAGTTGAAAGATAAAAGTTTTACTTTCAGAATGTTTATCCTGGGGACTTGCTGAGGCCTATTTATAGCTGCAAGTAATATGAGAATATGCACAGTAAAGCACAGCTGTCCAAATTATGGCCTGGAAGCCATTTGTGATTTTGTGTGTTGCGAGGCCTTAACACGTAATACATGTTTTATGTTCAATTTGTTTGACAACTTTCTCTACTAGTTGATTCTTATAAACAGAAAAATGTTCAGTTCTTAACGCTTTGAATTGCAATTTACAAAATTCACATCAATGCACCACAGTGCGCTTTGTTTTTTATGATTATCTGCAGGCAGCATCTACCTGTCATGTGGTTCAGCTCAGCTTCTAACCCATTTACTTTGGATTTTAGTGTTCCTGGAGTCTCCATATGTGTAGCCTGCACTGCTACTTAAGCTTTAGTATTAAAAGTAAGCTGCTATCTGTTGAAAGTTGTATAACATCTGATAAACTTATTTCCTGTGAGTGACTTCATTTCCTGTTATATTTCTGATGTAAAGTATTTAAAGACTGTGGTAACTTTAATTAGCAAGAGACATTTACTGCCTTCTTTAAGATGCTGAATTGATGGGGGAAGGGGTTATATCTTAAATTTTGGGTTAAGCTAATGCTTTAGCTGTCTTCTGTAATTTTAAAAAAGTTGAGAGAGACAGATTTCTCAAGTACATGTCAATTCTCAAATAATAAGAAAATGTTGCTCATAGACAGCGTTGGACTTATTTCTGCATTTTTGCTTCTTTATTGGCTTTGTACAAGAAAGCAGACATCTCTGTGTAAAGAGCAAAGCAGATTGTTATCATATTCTTTTTCATCTGGGTTTTTTGCTTCTCACAACCAGAGCAAAAGCGATGGTTTTCTTCTGGATTGTTTGCAGGGGTCAGTAAAAACATAGTGCCTGTTGTAATTTTGAGAACTTTTATAGGAAAGTAAATAACTGCTATTTACTTAGGTCATCAAGACAACTTCTGAGAATCTTTGTTATAGTCAAAGTCGATGCCCGTAGGTAAATGTACTCAATGGCATAAAATAAAATTTTTTTCAAGGTGTTGTGTTTTATAAAGTTTGACTGTTAGACTACAATTCCATATATTTAAAATGTAGATTTCAAAAGGATTATTAATGACAGACTGGTTACATGCTCATACAACAACATGATAAGCTTTAATTTAATTAAATTTTTTTTTTATCCCTTTGGGATCAATAAAGTATTTTTTTTTATTGAATCGAGCATTTTTTGCACATAAAATGATATTTTAATGTTTTCTTTTATGTGCTCTTTGAACTATCATTTACATTTCACTGCAGCCATAGTAATTGTCCAGTTCTATTCAGAGCACAACTGTGACCAAAGTGGGTATTTTTTAAACTAATTTTCAGCATATTAATCATGTTATATTCTGTAAAATAATTTTGCTCTTTGCTGCATGCCTTGTTAATGTTTGGTTATCTTCCCATAGTAGACAGAGCATGCAATTTCTGTATCTGCTAAAACGGATTTCTGTGGAGTGCTAAAATGAGCCTACTATTTTTTTTTTTTTTTATGAAGAAGATCTTTACACTTTTATGCAAAAACATTAAAATAATATAAAACAGAAAAAAAACAAGTATAGATTAGTCCTCTTTTAAATTATCTGTAAGACTAAAGTTTAACATATAACTGAGCCAATTTCTGTGTCAGTGACCTCCTTAAGCAGAATACTGATTGAGGCAAAGTCAAAACAGCATCTGTGTTTTCTTGCCCCCCTTTGTCAGTCCCTCGGACCCTTTCTCTGCTTCTTTCAGGCAGCCGTACATTATACACCACTGACACTGCCATACTAATTAGATCCTAACATAGTGAATATCAAAAGGGTATGTGTTATCCTGTCTGCCGAACCAAAACAATACTTTTTTATTATTATTTTTGTCCTTAAACTGTGTACTTTGAGTTATTCTCTTGTCATTTCCTAAAGAGACCTAGCTGAAAAGTAGGTCAACTGTTTGTTTATGTTTCTCTTTTGCTGCCACAGCAACCCAGCAGCTGGGCTAAAGCACATCAAGACAACGAGTAAAATTATAAAGATTTTACAATAGTAATGTTTATCCTGGGGACTTGGTGGGGCACATTTAAAGCTGCAAGTGATGTGAGAATATACACTGTAAGGTGTAAAGTTTCCCGGCTGTCCTCTCCTCGAATACATTAAAAATCATCTGTTTTTTTTTTTTTGTTGTTGTTGTTGCTCTCTTGCACCACAGTTACACTCAGAGCTGATACGCTGTGCAACATTCTGCTCACAGTGTGAGTCTTACAAGCTCACATGCTGCAGGAGACCAGCTCTCCTGCCTGCTGGGATTTAACAAAGCATGAAGCCCTGAGGCAGTCTCAAACAGGCGTGCAAGAGGAACTGAAAACAAGCTATTCTGAACAGCTTGTTACGACACCTATAATAAGCGCTAAAATGTTTTATGAGTCTATATCATGGCCAAACCCAAAGCTACAAAGATGTGAGTGTGAAAATTGAATGTTAAAAGATAACTATTTGTGTTTGTTTTTTAATCTTTGGGTAGATTTACATTGTGCAGTTGAAGTGACAAATTGTAAGCGTCCAGTGGGTCAGGTATTCCTGTTGCACATCTCCAGATGTATTTCTGTGCTTTTAATTCAATGTGAAAGAAATAATGGGCTGTGTTAACTTTCCCACTCTTCCCCTTTACTTTTCCCCTGTTTTACCCCCTCCCATCTGTAAAGTCAGCTGGGAGGGAGCTCTGCTTTGTTCCAACATAGTTCCCTGCAGAGTTGCCAGGGTGGTTCAAGTTGGAATTTTCTGTCTGTCGACGACCACTTCAAAAAAACAAAAAACAACAACAACAAAAAAACAGTACCATGGGAAACAACTTTCTTATTTGGATACTCGTACTTTGCATGTTTTATAAAGGTAAGAAGTTGTAATTACATGTTTATTCTCAATTGTTTTGCATATAGATGATGTTCAAGATAGAAATGGTGATGTAAAGGTGATGCAAATGAAAAAGCTAGGACTAACAGTCAGACGCATCAAGTCTATGGTGGGATTAGTGAATGTAAAAAAAAAGTGAAAAATTTAGACAAAAGCTAATTTGTGTTAAAATTAGGATTAAACCCATTACTATAGACTCTCCCTGGCACGGTAGTTTTCATTACCAGTGCGGTGAAATTATTTTGTCTAACAAATTTCTTCTGTTTTTAACAGAGATGTTTCATAAGATCTAACAAGATGATAAAACCTGACAAAAATTAGTTTTTAAATGACTATTTTTGTAAGAGAAAAGGGTATTCAAGCAACCTTGACCCTATGTGAAAAAGTTAATCCTTCTTTCTTGTGCCACCATTAGCAGCACCACATGCCATCAAGCATTAGCTATAACTTGAAATGAGAGTTGGAAATGATCTGGAGAAATTCTGGTCCACTTATCTTAGTAAATTTGTTTTAATTTACCAACCTTGGAAGGTTCCTTGAGAAAAAAAAGAACATTTCAAAATATGAGCTTTGACTAGACCACTCCAAATTCTTTTTTTTGTGTGGTATTTAAGTGTAAACTTGATGTCCTGCTGCATGACCCATTAAAATGAATTGAATATTTGTTTGATGACCTGAGGCAATTACGTGTGAAGAAGAAATCAAAAACATGAAATCTGTAAGGGGGTAGATCCTTTTTCATGACACAATATTGCTAACTGGCGACCGACGCTATCTCCTGCAGTGTCAGGAGAAGGTTGTTCCCTTATTCTCAAACCGTCCAGGGTTGTGGTGGGCTTCGGGGAGTCGGTGACGGTCAGCTGTGAAGCCACCCGCCCAGTGCGTGTCCTGGGCTGGGAGTCGGCCATTGGTGCGGTGCACACGCAGGAGGACCGGTCTGTCCAGTGGAAGGTAGACAGCCTTATTGAGTGGATAGAGGAGCCCATCTGCTATGGGGTTTTTTTCACAGCTCCGAGACAGTGTGAGGAGAAACTCAACCTTGTTCTTTACAGTGAGTCAGCTCTTGACATTACCATATGGTTGCAATTTAAATGAACTTATTTTCCTGACTAGAAATATGTGTGTTATTTACATAGAAACTCCAGATAGCATTTCCATCAGGCAGGCGAACCACACTGGCCCCATGGTGGAAGGAAAAGAGTACCAGCTGCTCTGTGAGGTTCAGAATATCGCTCCTGTTCAGTACCTCACACTGAAGTGGTACCGAGGTCAGACTGAAGTCTATCAACACTCCTTCTCTGACCTCACGTCTTCTTCCCCTGTACAAGTGTCCTCTATCCTCGTCATCACGCCAACAAAAGCAGAAAACGATGCAGAGTATAAGTGTGTAGCGGAGCTGGACCTTGGACCGGAGGGACCACAGCCGCCTCCCACTCTGGCCTCAGAGCCCCTCGCTGTGTCCATATACTGTGAGTTATGCTGTATGTGTATATATAAAACACTTTGGAGACCAACAGAAGGTAGAGCACAGATGTGAACTAAAAAAAAAAGTAACATAATAGAGTCTATGAACTTAGAATCTCACCTGGATTTAGGTTTGGACTTTGACTTGGCCATTCTAGCATGAGTTTGTCAACTTCCTTTCACAATAAATAGTGACAACTTTACATTTCTACAACTTTAGAAATGTGTTGTTATTAAAATTAATAAAAGAACAGAACACTTGCCAAAAAAGAATGGATACATTTTTATGTTCTATATTCTAACATTATTTAAGTAATCTAAAAATAATCACTGACCTGCCTGCTGTGTCTCTTGGTTTTCATGATGCTGTTTGTGTAGTGACCTTTTTAGATTTTTATTTGTAAAGATTTTTGAACACTATCATTTTCTTCTGCTCAGCATTCACTTTGTGTTGGTCTATCATGTGATTTACAATTAAATATACTAACTTTTTGGACTGAAATGTGATTTTTTTTTACAGGGCACCATGCGTACATGCTGAAAATTAAACACCACAACTTTTTTTTTTCTTTTTAGTTTCCCCAACATTTCTAAGTCCTGAAACAGAGGAGTTAGACTTTACAGCAGGAGCTGAAGTCACCTTAAACTGCACTGCCATGGGAAACCCTGTGCCTGCATACAGCTGGCAGTCCATCCATCCCGCAGAAGAGAAAATGAAGGCGGAAGCTGTTATTACTTCCTCCTCGCTGCTCCCAGGCACTTACACATGCACTGCCTCAAACACACTGGAAAAAAAGAGCAAGCAGTTCATTATCAAAGAAAAGATCAAAGGTTGAGGGAAGATTTATATGTTGCTGCGGTTATTAAAATGTTCCAAACTCTGCATCCTAACCCTGAAATCTCCTTTTGCTTTTGCTCAGGTGTTTGAGGCTTGCTATCTCACAACGGATCAGTTGGCGCGCTCTCTGACTCACAGGGAAAATTCATCTGAATTGATTTAACTGTTGTTGCATTGAAGATGGAAATTATGACACATTTATGATTCAGCAGATGTTGATGAGGATCATGTTACCATCCAGAGTTAGATACCATAGATAAAATGTTATGTTTGGTAACTGTCATTTTATATATATATATATATATATATATATATATATATATATATATATATATATATATATATATATATATATATATATATATATATATATATATATATATATATATATATATATATATAGCTGTTGATTTAGGGTAGATTTACCATTTTAGAATTTACATGTAATGTTTGATGTAAATATTTATGATAGTCTTATTTACCTACTAATTTAATGAATTTATGGAACATTTTAGACACATACCCACTATTGGCACTGAAATGAATAGCAGCAGGGAATTGCTGTAAATACGGGCTGTTTCTTGGTTTGATTTTCTTATTGTTATCAATAAAAATAAGCTTTTTACTAACTGGTTCACTTACTGATGATGATGCCTTTTGATTTTGTTAGATTACTAATGTCAGTCTTGGGTTTTGTTAAGCAATAAAGTCCAGCAGTGCATGAAATGATGTAATGCCTTCTAATATAATCACATTTGTTCATTGTTTGTTTCATTTTCAGCCTGTCTGACCCTCACTATCTTTCAGATGACTCATCAGTATAGTGATTGTCTACTTTTAGATATCTGCTGTGGTAAAGTGATATCTCACTTTGATCCAACACAGATGCTCATTAGCTGACTCAAAATTGGTTACTGAGGTGCATGTTTTTTTTTTTTTAAAGATGTTCTGCTTTTTATTGTAACAAAAACAATATTTTATTTATGAAGTTATATGAGCTATTACTATATAGGTCATTTTAAGTGTACAGTTTTAAATTATAAATTTTTTGTCATACAGGCATATTTGCCTAAAAGTTTACAATAGTTTTGAAATGTTTACTCTTTTATTTAAAGGGTGCAATATGTCACCATGCCTCCCTCCACAAGATGTCGCTCTTTATTTATTCTTTAAAGTGACGACGCGCTGTCGATATGTCACATGACCAAAACAGTGCCGCGGTAAGAAGTAGCGTTTAGCCTCAACGCTATCACAGAGGTGACAGTCACTTTGAGTAGATGACCATGTTCTTGAAGAACGACGTGTTTTAAAATGCGTCTTCGACTTATGTTCAGAAATGCCTCAGAAAGATCCTTGTCAAAAGCAGGCATGCGCCATCCAGAAGTGTTTACAAGGTACTTCAGATGTTACGCGTTGTTTTAGTCTTAAGCCGAGGAGGATATTTGACTAACAGCTTCCACGTCCTGCAGCTAATAAGTACATGGAGAGTATGTGCGAGGACGTGATCCGAAACATGCGGCGGTGCTGTGAAATCCACGGGCGAAACTCGACCTGCTGCTCCGGTTTTAAGGACTCCAAACCGACCGAAAACGAGAAGGAAACATAAATCTCAAGTTCTCCTTTCTGTACAACAATAGAGCAGGTCTGTGTCATGCTGAAGCCTGCTGCCATTTAGAAATGCCACTAATGAGAAGTAGAAAAAACGTTTCACTTTAGGCAAACCGATATTTTAGATATTTAGGCTCGACATTTCCTAAAACTGCACCATGATGAGCTGTGAGGTTTGAACGTTCCTATCACAGTAATCATACCTCTGCCATTTTGTCAACACTCATTCAAGGTGTTCAGGGGCGAGCTCGTGTTTGTCAGAAATAAACAAGTTAGACAGGGTTAAAAAAAAATTTAAAAAAAGAAAAGAAAAAACTTCTCCTCGACTCATCAATATTCTCTATTCATCAATATTCTATATTCCAATAGAGTTACGCCTTAGTTAACCTCAGAAAATTGAAATATTAATATTACATTAGACCAATCTCCTTTTTCCATAAAGAAATGCTTAAAGAAACCAGGGGATGGTGCTAGTGTCTATCTACCAACAGATAACTATCAGCAGTCTTCTTCCTGTCTGTTTTAACAATGCCTTTTATTCATCTCTGATGATATTCAAGCTTTCTACCAAAATGGTTTTCAGATTTTCATCAGCCATAATCCTTCATATTAAAAATAAACAGGTGAAATATATCAGTGAATCAATGTAAGGTTTTAATAAATCTTTTTGAACTGGCAATTTATTGAGCAAACTTTTTGAAGTATCTTTAGAGATTTTGTCTTTTCTATTTTATTAATACCACAATTTCTGCTTTGTTCCAGACCTCAAGCAAGGCAATGCAAACAGAAGGAATCCTTTCATCAAGCGTCTTACTTCTTCTTGCTGGTGGTTCGCTCCAGCAGTTTGTGGGCGAAAGACAGGGTTCCACCTGGACAGACAGCCAGTCCATCACTGGGCAACAAAGAGACACACATGCGCACACTTATACCCAATGTAAAATCAGAGAGACTGAATAACCTAACAGTAATGTTTATTGTACTATGGGAGGAAGCTGGGGTACCCAGAGAGAGCCAGCGAATACACGAAAGACCATTAAGAAATACCCAAGACAGGGTTTTGAACCCAAGACCTTCATATCCCTACTTTATTGTTAGGATTATGGAATTTCTGAAGCATTTTAAAAAAAGGTTATAAGGAAGAAATAGGGTCAGGGGGGTCTTGGCCTTTTAAATTGTGCTCATTTGTAAACAAAAAAAAAATAGTTTGCCAAAGTATCTTCTAGTCTTCTTACTGTATTTATAATAATACTAACGTTATTTATTTTATACCCAAAAGTGGGATGCTTATGGGGCTAACCCTGTCAAGTAATTGAACTGATTGGAATTAAAGTTCAAATATAGAAGGTATAAAACGTTTATTTATATTTTCTATATATGTTTGCCATTATTAAATTTGTACTTTTATTATCTGAAAAACTCGTGTAATTGAAAAAATACAGTCTGAAAAAAAATTCATGTTTTGGACACATTAAAACCTGCATTTTCACACTTAAAATTTTAAGATAAATATTTTGTTCCCTATCCTTTCAGTGTCTCTGTATCCTTTTGAACTTAGAAATTGAAATAGAAACTAACACTGCACTCATACAGGAAAATAAACATTTTGTTTCGTTTCCTAAAAAAACATTCTGAAGTTTGAATATGTTGTATTACTTGCAACAAATGTTGAAAAGATAATCCCTAATAAATATTTAAAAGCCTAGCTCCTTTATTTTGTTTTTGACTTGAAAAGGTATGTAATAAGTTACATGATGATATTTTTTTCTATATTTTAGTTTTTCTATATTTTATATTTCATTTATGTTTTCTATAGATATATTTATGTTGCACACATTATTAGATGACGAACATATACAATGTTAATCTACAATCAGTTTATTGCAGTTCTGCAATAACTGTATTCATAATAAGCTTGTGTCTGTTTATTCATTCTAATTATTTCATTTTTATTATACTCTATTTAAGAACTGGATAATTAAACTAAATGCCATTTTTAAATAATGTGTTGAAAACTGTTTTGGTACGGCTTTATAACAAAGAATGTCTGGTTGAACTTAAACAATAAATTAAAAGCAAATTATGATTAATTAAAACTTGTTTACGTGTTTATCTTTTGTAAACGACCTAAAATCTTTCTGTAACTCTAAAAGCTCTGCCGCAAGTTTTTTTTCTTACCGTTTTTTGATAAAATAATTTTTTTTTAAAAATCACAATTGTGTTTCTTTACCTTTTTATTTCCAGAGATAATATTTCAGGTTCACCAACAAACCGTATGGCATTTTGTTCGGAATATGTTCTGCTCTGCGACGCCATACCTTACGTCTATCTGACGGTCGACGTGATGACGTAGACCGGAAACGTGCGGGAGAGATTCTTTCTAGAATTCTGTAGCTGCATCTAGCTAGTAGTCGCTAGGGAGGTCCAACTGTGTTTGTTCTGGGAAGAAATACAGTTTGTTTCAGCCGACTCAGATTACTGAGACGTGCCTCCACATCGAGATTTTTTGCTGCGGAATTACATTTTCTAGTCAAGTTTGCTTAACCTCCCAACTTATCCGACTTGTAGGTCGCTAACTTGGTTAGCTTCGTGTTGTAGCTGGCAGGATGTCCAGGATAGACTACAGCGTGTGGGACCACATTGAGGTCTCAGATGATGAAGATGATACCCACCCTAACATCGACACACCGAGCCTCTTTAGATGGAGACACCAGGTACAGTTTGAACTCAATTTAGCCTCAAGTCGTTAAGATAATAATGTTGACAATCTTACTTCTCTGGTCTGACTGCACATATATTCTGTTGTCTTTCTCCTATAACAAATCACGGTTACTTATTTCAATCAGACGTATTTAGCCTTAAGTCTGTTGGAAATATGTGACAATGGGTTACTGCGCTGGATGAAGATACAACTTTCATTTATGACTTTCAGGCTCGTGTGGAGAGAATGGAAGAGTTTCAGAATAAAGGTGAAGAAATCAACAAGAGTCTAATGGAGTGTCGGCGTAAGCTGGCAGAGACGCAGAAGAAACTCCAGGAGCTGAGCGTCGCCTCGTCGGATGATGCCAAAACAGAGCTGAATAAAGTCCAGGCGGAGGAGAAGAAATTAAAGAAAGAGGAACGAGACTTGTCGAAGAAGATGGATGAACACAGAAGAGAGGAGAAGAAGATGCCCTGGAATGTGGACACGCTCAGCAGGGATGGTTTCAGCAAGGTGACACAGATCAGTCATGCTACTTTAAGCAACACGTAATTTTCAGCAGCAATTTCCCACAATCTGGTGTTTTTATGGGTTTATTTTATCTTCATTGGTTAAAAAATCTGACACTCTTTAACAAATTACGTATTAAAACTGTCTTTAAATCCTATGAAGTGTTAGTTGTCAAGTGGTACAAGCAGGAACTTCTGGTATAAGTAAATGTTAAGCCCTCCCTGACATTTACAATAAAGTTAAGATAAACAACTTAAAATTAAATACCTAAAAATAAATACAGTTTAGAAAGAATGTATCACATTTTGTGAAATTTTCAACAAGCCTGGTGTCAAACCATCTGGGAAAAATCCAGGGGTCTTTCCGAAGGGCGAACTTCTGACAGCCACATTCATCGATACTGTCTGTCACGGCTCAAAATGATTGACAGGCGTCTCGCCACGCCCCCTGGGTCAGCCAGCGGCCACAGAATTCATCCAATCAGGATGGACTTGCCTCGAGCTCGAGTGTGTGTGGGCGTGGCTTGGCATAGACTGAGTAGGTGCGATGGCGAGCAATATTAGCATAAACGAGGTGGATTATTTAACCTTTTTGCGTTCCAGAAAAGTTGTCAGAGTCAACTTCTCTTTAAATAAGATAGGCCTCATTTAAAAACAAATTGTAAATTGCTTATCAGTGTGATTGTACGGAAGCGCATTGCTATAACGCAGAAAAAAAAATCTGAGCATTATCACGTTATATAGTGATACGTAGATAACTATCGTTTAAACAAGATATTGGGTACAAGTGCTTGCAGATAACAGTGTATATTCTTTGAATTGGTCTCTGTTTTCAATACAGAATCAATTTATAAATTTATTTTGCTGCTGAAAATTTTGCATGATTCTCGTTTATTTTTATTTTTCGGTGTTTCCTTTCTATATATTGAAAATACACTTTGCTTTTAATTAGCTTCTTACATCTACTTTTAGATGCAAGAAGCGAGAAAAACTGGGTGACCAATTGACCAAGAAACAGCTGACTATGAGTCAACTCCCTTTAGTAAGACAATGCAATCCTGGGTGTCTTTAATAGTAGGAATATGTTTTGTTTGAAGGAGTGATATGTGAGGTAAAGGATTTTCTAGTCGTCATTTGCGTCTAGAAAATCCTTGAATAATTATAGATTATGAATAGTATCTTTAACTTCCAGCTGTTGAAACAGTGACAAGTGCTACTGTTGACATGTTTTTTTTTTTTTGCACCATTGACAGAGTATCGTTAATGTCAAACCTGAGGTTGGACAAGAAACTGAAGAGGAGAAGGAGCAAAAGCATAAAACCTTTGTGGAGCAGTATGAGAAGCAGATCAAACATTTCGGTAAGGGCCATTGACAACCATCAAATTGTTTTGTCTGCATAAATGCATTCCTTGTTACAGTTTGGAAGTAGAGATATTTATTTGTTACTGCCTTACTTTAGGGATGTTGCGGCGTTGGGACGACAGTCAGAAGTACCTCTCTGACAATCCTTATCTTGTATGCGAAGAAACTGCCAATTATCTTGTTATCATGTGCATTGATCTTGAAGTGGAAGAAGTAAGCATTTTTCTTTTTCTTTACTTATCCACATTGCTATTATTGAATTGTGTTTTACTCTCAATTCAATAATTGCAATGGTGATTTAAATATAAATAAGATGTTATTTGGGGTGTCATTCAGTAATGCCCTTCCGTTTTCCCCTCAAGCTGTTATCCCCACATGACTCTATTCTTCTGCATTCTTCTTTTGTAGAAACATGCACTGATGGAGCAAGTGGCTCATCAGACTATAGTGATGCAGTTCATACTTGAATTGGCAAAGAGCTTGAAAGTGGACCCCCGCGGCTGCTTCCGTCAATTTTTTTCCAAGATTAAGGTAAGTAGGTAGTTTTGTTTAAAAAAAATAACACTGATCATTTAAAGCTGCAAATTAAATGCTAATCAGAAGATAGTGTCACTGAAAAGTGAAATTGTTTTTTACACAAAGAACAATTGTAAACCCACTAATATTTTTTATTTTTTGCATTTAGAATATGTCTTTATGTTTCATAAAAGTTTTTCAGTTTATTCTTTAAATTTTGGATTTCTTCATCACTCACTTTCAGTCTCTCTCATAAGCTGATTGACATTAGGGATACCCTGGTATGAAAATTTGGGCCGATATTGATATCATTATTTTTTTATGGCTGACCTATATTTACCTATATGTTATATATTCTCTATATATTTTTCACCATTCTCTCAACACCTTGAAAAAAAAAATCACACTACTGACTTAAAAGTGTAAAGAAGTCAAACTTAAAACAAATCTTTGTGCTGCTATAGATATCTAAAATATTTGTCTTCAGCATTGGAGCAATGTGTCAAACTTAAGATGATTCCATTTATCTGAAAATGGTTAATTATCAACAATTAACTAATAATTAGATGTGAAGAAACATCTAATGTCTAAAGAGCAAACTTTCAAAAGTGTTCACTTAAAAAGATTACAAATATGAAACGAACAAACGCAGAAACAAGACTTTTGAACATCGATGTGCAGTTTAACTCCTCTAGTTTTTGAACAAAACCGATTAAGTTCCTGTATTCTTTTCAAAGATTCAGTATAAATCCCTGATAATAAGTGTGCTGGAAAACCTTAAAACCCAGTCTTTGTTCTTTGCATTTAATCAGACGGCTGATCAGCAGTACCAAGATGCATTTAATGACGAGCTGGAGTCATTCAAGGAGCGAGTTAGAGGAAGGGCAAAGATCCGCATAGAGAAGGCCATGAAGGAACTGGAAGAAGAAGAACGACAGAAGCGCCTGGGACCCGGTGGACTCGATCCCGTTGAAGTCTATGAAACTCTGCCAGCTGTAAGTTCACCATTCACCAGCGACCCTATTCATCTTGTTGGTATTTGCTTTTTGGAGTAAAGTCTTGAGTTTTTTTGTACGGCATGTTGACAATTGCAGGAAATGCAGAAGTGCTTCGATGAAAAAGACATCCAAATGTTACAAGACGTCATCAGCAAAATGGACCCAACGGTAAGTTATTTTAGTTTTGATCAATTGTCTTTCTGAGAATTAGGTTTGCATTTTGTCAAGCCCTGGTTTACATTCACATAATTTTAGGAGGCAAAACATCACATGAAGAGATGCATCGACTCTGGGCTCTGGGTCCCTAATGCCAAATTGGATATGGAAGGAAAAGATGAGGAACCCACCTATGAAGAGGTGAAACAGGAGCAAGAAGAAACAAAGAAGGAATGACCAGATTGGCCCAACTGATTTGTTTTCCTTTTTGGGTTTTGTTTTTGCAAATATGCTCACCCACTGTATTGCAACTCCCATTATGTGTACGATTAGTTCGCAGATGAATGAAATAACTTCTTTGAAAATGTTTTGCTGAGATATATGGGAAGAATGTTCACGTACCAACACAACCTGGGGGCATCAGTGACCCCACCTGGACATGAAAATGTTGATTGTGCTAAA